GATAGTGTAGATCAGCTGCTGCCTAGGATAGTGTAGATCAGCTGCTTCCTAGGATAGTGTAGATCAGCTGCTGCCTAGGATAGTGTAGACCAGCTGCTGCCTAGGATAGTGTAGACCAGCTGCTGCCTGGGAAATAGTGTAGACCAGCTGCTGCCTAGGATAGTGTAGACCAGCTGCTGCCTAGGATAGTGTAGACCAGCTGCTGCCTAGGATAGTGTAGACCAGCTGCTGCCTAGGATAGTGTAGACCAGCTGCTGCCTAGGATAGTGTAGATCAGCTGCTGCCTAGGATAGTGTAGATCAGCTGCTGCCTAGGATAGTGTAGACCAGCTGCGCCTAGGGTAGTGTAGACCACTGCTGCCTAGGATAGTGTAGACCAGCTGCTGCTAAGATAGTGTAGATCAGCTGCTGCCTGGGATAGTGTAGATCAGCTGCTTCCTAGGATAGTGTAGATCAGCTGCTGCCTAGGATAGTGTAGACCAGCTGCTGCCTAGGATAGTGTAGACCAGCTGCTGCCTAGGATAGTGTAGACCAGCTGCTGCCTAGGATAGTGTAGACCAGCTGCTGCCTAGGATAGTTAGACCACATCTGCCTAGGATAGTGTAGACCAGCTGCTGCCTAGGATAGTGTAGACCAGCTGCTGCCTAGGATAGTGTAGATCAGCTGCTGCCTAGGATAGTGTAGACCAGCTGCTGCCTAGGATAGTGTAGATCAGCTGCTGCCTAGGGTAGTGTAGACCAGCTGCTGCCTAGGGTAGTGTAGACCAGCTGCTGCCTAGGATAGTGTAGATCAGCTGCTTCCTAGGAAATAGTGTAGATCACTGCTGCCTAGGATAGTGTAGATCACTGCTGCATGGGAAATATTGTAGACAAGCTGCTGCCTAGGATAGTGTAGATCAGCTGCTGCCTAGGATAGTGTAGATCAGCTGCTGCCTAGGATAGTGTAGACCACTGCTGCGCCTAGGATAGTGTAGACCAGCTGCTGCCTAGGATAGTGTAGATCAGCTGCTTCCTAGGATAGTGTAGATCAGCTGCTGCCTAGGATAGTGTAGATCAGCTGCTGCATAGGATAGTGTAGATCAGCTGCTGCATAGGATATTGTAGACAAGCTGCTGCCTAGGATAGTGTAGATCAGCTGCTGCCTAGGATAGTGTAGATCAGCTGCTGCCTAGGATAGTGCAGACCAGCTGCTGTCTAGGATAGTGTAGACCAGCTGCTGCCTAGGATAGTGTAGATCAGCTGCTTCCTAGGATAGTGTAGATCAGCTGCTGCCTAGGATAGTGTAGATCAGCTGCTGCATAGGATAGTGTAGATCAGCTGCTGCATATTATATTGTAGACAAGCTGCTGCCCAGGATAGTGTAGATCAGCTGCTGCCTAGGATAGTGTAGATCAGCTGCTGCCTAGGATAGTGTAGACCAGCTGCTGCCTAGGATAGTGTAGACCAGCTGCTGCCTAGGATAGTGTAGATCAGCTGCTTCCTAGGATAGTGTAGATCAGCTGCTGCCTAGGATAGTGTAGATCAGCTGCTGCATAGGATATTGTAGACAAGCTGCTGCCTAGGATAGTGTAGATCAGCTGCTGCCTAGGATAGTGTAGATCAGCTGCTGCCTAGGATAGTGTAGACCAGCTGCTGCCTAGGATAGTGTAGATCAGCTGCTGCCTAGGATAGTGTAGACCAGCTGCTGCCTAGGGTAGTGTAGACCAGCTGCTGCCTAAGATAGTGTAGACCAGCTGCTGCCTAGGATAGTGTAGATCAGCTGCTTCCTAGGATAGTGTAGATCAGCTGCTGCCTAGGATAGTGTAGATCAGCTGCTGCGTAGGATAGTGTAGATCAGCTGCTTCCTAGGATAGTGTAGATCTGCTGCTGCCTAGGATAGTGTAGACCAGCTGCTGCCTAGGATAGTGGAGACCAGCTGCTGCCTAGGATAGTGTAGACCAGCTGCTGCCTAGGATAGTGTAGATCATCTGCTTCCTGGGGAATAGTGTAATCAGCTGCTGCCTAGGATAGTGTAGATCAGCTGCTGCATAGGATATTGTAGACAAGCTGCTGCCTAGGATAGTGTAGATCAGCTGCTGCCTAGGATAGTGTAGACCAGCTGCTGCCTAGGACAGTGTAGATCAGCTGCTTCCTAGGATAGTGTAGATCAGCTGCTGCCTAGGATAGTGTAGATCAGCTGCTGCCTAGGATAGTGTAGACCAGCTGCTGCCTAGGGTAGTGTAGACCAGCTGCTGCCTAGGATAGTGTAGACCAGCTGCTGCCTAGGGTAGTGTAGACCAGCTGCTGCCTAGGATAGTGTAGGCCAGCTGCTGCCTAGGATACTGTAAACCAGCTGCTGCCTAGGATAGTGTAGATCACCTGCTGCCTAGGACAGTGTAGACCAGCTGCTGCCTAGGATAGTGTAGATTTGCTGCTGCCTAGGATAGTGAAGACCAGCTGCTGCCTAGGATAGTGTAGACCAGCTGCTGCCTAGGATAGTGTAGATCACCTGCTGCCTAGGATAGTGTAGACCAGCTGCTGCCTAGAATAGTGTAGATCAGCTGCTGCCCAGGATAGTGTAGACCAGCTGCTGACTAGGATAGTCTAGATCAGCTACTGTCTAGGATAGTAAGACCAGCTGCTGCCTAGGATAGTGTTGACCAGCTGCTGCCTAGGATAGTGTAGACCAGCTGCTGCCTAGGATAGTGTAGATCAGCTGCTGCCTAGGATAGTGTAGACCAGCTGCTGCCTAGGATAGTGTAGATCAGCTGCTGCCTAGGATAGTGTAGACCAGCTGCTGCCTAGGATAGTGTAGACCAGCTGCTGCCTAGGATAGTGTAGATCAGCTGCTGCCTAGGATAGTGTAGACCAGCTACTGCCTAGGATAGTGTAGATCACCTGCTGCCTAGGATAGTGTAGACCAGCCGCTGCCTAGGATAGTGCAGACCAGCTGCTGCCTAGGATAATGTAGACCAGCTGCTGCCTAGGATAGTGTAGACCAGCTGCTGCCTAGGATAGTGTAGAACACCTGCTGCCTAGGATAGTGTAGACCAGCTGCTGCCTAGGAAAGTGTAGACCAGCTGCTGCCTAGGACAGTGTAGATCAGCTGCTGCCTAGGATAGTGTAGACCAGCTGGTGCCTAGGATAGTGTAGATCAGCTGCTGCCTAGGATAGTGTAGACCAGCTGCTGCCTAGGATAGTGTAGATCAGCTGCTGCCTAGGATAGTGAAGACCAGCTGCTGCCTAGGATAGTGTAGATCAGCTGCTGCCTAGGATAGTGTAGACCAGTTGCTGCCTAGGATAGTGTAGACCAGCTGCTGCCTAGGATAGTGTAGAACACCTGCTGCCTAGGATAGTGTAGACCAGCCGCTGCCTAGGATAGTGTAGACCTGCTGCTGCCTAGGATAGTGTAGACCAGCTGCTGCCTAGGATAGTGTAGACCAGCTGCTGCTTAGGATAGTAAAGACCAGCTGCTGCCTATGATAGTAAAGACCAGCTGCTCACTAGGATTGTAAAGACCAGCTGCTCACTAGGATAGTAAAGACCAGCTGTTGCCTATGATAGTAAAGACCAGCTGCTCACTAGGATAGTGAAGACCAGCTGTTGCCTATGATAGTAAAGACCAGCTGCTCACTAGGATAGTAAAGACCAGCTGCTCACTAGGATAGTAAAGACCAGCTGTTGCCTATGATAGTAAAGACCAGCTGCTCACTAGGATAGTAAAGACCAGCTGCTCACTAGGATAGTAAAGACCAGCTGTTGCCTATGATAGTAAAGACCAGCTGCTCACTAGGACAGTAAAGACCAGCTGTTGCCTATGATAGTAAAGACCAGCTGCTCACTAGGATAGTAAAGACCAGCTGCTGCCTATGATAGTAAAGACCAGCTGCTCACTAGGATAGTAAAGACCAGCTGCTCACTAGGATAGTAAAGACCAGCTGTTGCCTATGATAGTAAAGACCAGCTGCTCATTAGGATAGTAAAGACCAGCTGCTTCCTATGATAGTAAAGACCAGCTGCTCACTAGGATAGTAAAGACCAGCTGTTGCCTATGATAGTAAAGACCAGCTGCTGCCTATGAAAGTGAAGACCAGCTGCTCACTTGGATAGTAAAGACCAGCTGCTGCCTATGATAGTAAAGACCAGCTGCTGCCAATGATAGTAAAGACCAGCTGTTCACTAGGATAGTAAAGACCAGCTGCTGCCTATGATAGGAAAGACCAGCTGCTCACTAGGATAGTAAAGACCAGCTGCTGCCTATGATAGTAAAGACCAGCTGCTGCCTATGATAGCAAAGACCAGCTGCTGCCTATGATAGTAAAGACCAGCTGCTGCCTATGATAGTAAAGACCAGCTGCTCCCTGGGATAGTAAAGACCAGCTGCTGCCTAGGACAGTGTACACCAGCTGCTGCCTAGGATAGTACAGACCAGCTGCTGCCTATGATAGTAAAGACCAGCTGCTGCCTATGATAGTAAAGACCAGCTACTCACTAGGATAGTAAAGACCAGCTGCTGCCTAGGATAGTGTAGACCAGCTGCTGCCTAGGATAGTAAAGACGCAGCTGTTGCCTAGAATAGTAAAGATGCACCTACTACCTAGGATAGTAAAGCCCAGCTGCTGCCTAGGATAGTAAATACCAGCTGCTGCCTAGGATAGTAAAGACGCAGCTGTTGCCTAGGATAGTAAAGACCAGCTGCTGCATAGAATAGTAAATACCAGCTGCTGCCTAGGATAGTAAAGACGCAGCTTTTGCCTAGGATAGTAAAGACCAGTTGCTGCCTAGGATAGTAAAGACCAGCTGCTGCCTAGGATAGTAAAGACCAGCTGCTGCCTATGATAGTAAAGACCAGCTGCTGCCTAGGATAGTAAAGACCAGCTGCTGCCTATGATAGTAAAGACCAGCTGCTGCTTATAATAATGAAGTCCAGCTGCTGCCTATGATAGTAAAGACCAGCTGCTGCCTAGGATAGTAAAGACCAGCTGCTGCCTATGATAGTAAAGACCAGCTGCTGCTTAGGATAATGAAGTCCAGCTGCTGCCTATGATAGTAAAGACCAGCTGCTGCCAAAGATATTAAAAACCAGCTGCTGCTTCGGATAGTGAAGACCAGCTGCTGCCTATGGTAGAAAAGGCGAAGCTGCTGCCTAGGATAGTGTAGACCAGCTGCTCACTAGGATAGTAAAGACCAGCTGCTGCCTTGGATAGTGTAGACCAGATGCTGCCTAGGATCGTAAAGACGCATCTGTTGCCTAGGATAGTAAAGACGCAGCTACTGTCTAGGATAGTGTAGACCAGCTGCTGCCTAGGATAGTGTAGACCAGCTGCTGCCTAAGTTAGTACTTAGATCAGACTTTCAAATGGTACATTATAGCTTCATACACCTTTCTTTTAACTTTCATGATAAACTGAAGTTACCATTTCACTCACACAGCTTTGTTTGTGCACAGGTTTGTTTGTTTTTGTACAGCTTTGTTTGTTTGTTTGTGTACAGCTGTGGTGAGCACGGTGGAGGTGATGGTGGGTAGCACAGCATCTCTGCCTTGTAAAGCAACTCTACATCCACACAGTGATTCACCAAACTTGCTGCTCTTCTACAGACACGCGTCTAATATCCCATTTTTCAGGTGAGTCATTAAGGATGGTAGTATAATCCACAAATACAAAATTATATATTAAACGTTTGTCAGATGCTGAGATAAACCCGCTGACAGGACTGTCAGCGCATCAGTTTCAAAATAATTAATTATTATTAGCAATGATTACAATAATAATAGTTTTGTATCCCTCTTATTATTATAATTATCATTATTATTAATTTTTGTTATTATAATTATCACTGTCAATGTGGCTTGACGTCCAATATGGCTGAAAAGATCACAATATGGCTGGCAACATCACAATATGGCTGACAACATCACAATATGGCTGACAACATCACAATATGGCTGGCAACATCACAATATGGCTGACAACATCACAATATGGCTGACAACATCACAATATGGCTGACAAGATCACAATATGGCTGACAAGATCACAATATGACTGACAAGATCACAATATGGCTGGCAACATCACAATATGGCTGACAACATCACAATATGGCTGACAAGATCACAATATGGCTGGCAACATCACAATATGGCTGACAACATCACAATATGGCTGACAACATCACAATATGGCTGGCAACATCACAATATGGCTGACAAGATCACAATATGGCTGGCAACATCACAATATGGCTGACAACATCACAATATGGCTGACAACATCACAATATGGCTGGCAACATCACAATATGGCTGACAACATCACAATATGGCTGACAACATCACAATATGGCTGACAACATCACAATATGGCTGACAAGATCACAATATGGCTGACAAGATCACAATATGGCTGGCAACATCACAATATGGCTGACAACATCACAATATGGCTGGCAACATCACAATATGGCTGGCAACATCACAATATGGCTGACAACATGACAATATGGCTGACAACATCACAATATGGCTGGCAACATCACAATATGGCTGACAACATCACAATATGGCTGACAACATCACAATATGGCTGGCAACATCACAATATGGCTGGCAACATCACAATATGGCTGAGAACATCATAATATGGCTGACAACATCGCAGAATGGTTCGCAACATGACAATATGGCTGACAACATCGCAATATGTATGCCAACATCACAATATGGCTGAGAACATCACAACATGGCTGACAACATCACAATATGGTTGGTAACATCACAATATGGGTAACAACTTCACAATATGGCTAAAAACATCACAATATGGCTGGCAACATCATAATATGGCTAACAACATCACAACATGGCTGACAACATCACAATATGACTGGCAACATCACAATATGGCTGACAACATCACAATATGGCTGGCAACATCATAATATAGCAAACAACATCACAACATGGTTGACAGCATCACAATATGGCTGACAACATCACAATATGGCTAACAACATCACAATATGGCTGGCAACATCACAATATGGCTAACAACATCACAACATGGCTGACAACATCACAATATGGCTGGCAACATCACAATATGGCTAACAACATCACAATATGGCTGGCAACATCACAATATGGCTAACAACATCACAACATGGCTGACAACATCACAATATGGCTGGCAACACCACAATATGGCTAACAACATCACAACATGGCTAACAACATCACAATATGGCTGGTAACATCACAATATGGCTAACAACATCACAATATGGATGGCAACATCATAATATTGCTAACAACATCACAATATGGCTAACAACATCACAATATGGGTGGCAACATCACAATATGGCTGACAACATCGCAATATGTCTGGCAACATCACAATATCGCTGACAACATCACAATATGGCTGACAACATGACGAGATGGCTGATAATATCAAATATGGCTGACAACATCATAGTATCGCTGGCAACATCACAGTATGGATGGCAACATCACAATATGGCTGGCAACATCACAATATGGCTGAGAACATCACAATATTGCTGGCAACATCACAATATGGCTGGCAACATCACAATATGGCTGACATCACAATATGGCTGAGAACATCACAATATGGCTGGCAACATCACAATATGGCTATCAACATCACAATATGGCTAGCAACATCACTAAATGGCTGATAGCATCACAATATCGCTGACAACATCACAATATCGCTGACAACATCACAATATGCCTGGCAACATCACAATATGGCTGACAAGATCACAATATGGCTTACAACATCACAGTATGGCTGACAACATCACAATATGGCTGACAACATCACAATATGGCTGACAACATCACAGTATGGCTGACAACAACACAATATGGCTTACAACATCACAGTATGGCTGACAACATCACAATATGGCTGACAACATCACAATATGGCTTACAACATCACAGTATGGCTGACAACATCACAATATGGCTGACAACATCACAATATGGCTGACAACATCACAACATTTCTGGGAACATCACAATATGGCTGAGAACATCACAGCATGGCTGACAACATCAAAATATGGCTGGCAACTTCACAACATGGCTAACAACTTCATAATATGGCTGACAAGATCACAATATGGCTGGGATCATCATAATATCGCTGAGAGCATCACAATATGGCTGACAACATCACAATATGGCTGGCAACATCACAATATATCTTACAATATCACAATATGGCTGACAACATCACAATATGGCTGGTAACACCACAATATGGCTGGAAACATCACAATATTGCTGACAACATCACAATATGGCTAGCAACATCACATCACAATATCGCTGACATCACAATATCGCTGATAACATCACAATATGGCTAGCAACATCACAATATGGCTGATAACATCATAATATGGCTGACAGCATCACAATATCGCTGACAACATCACAATATGGCTGGCAACATCACAGTATGGCTGACAACATCACAATATGGCTGACAACATCACAATATGGCTGACAACATCACAATATGGCTGACAACATCACAATATGGCTGGCAACATCACAATATGGCTGGCAACATCACAATATGGCTGACAACATCACAGTATGGCTGACAACATCACAATATGGCTGACAACATCACAATATGGCTGACAACATCACAATATGGCTGCAACATCACAATATGGCTGGCAACATCACAATATGGCTGACAACATCACAATATGGCTGACAACATCACAATATGGCTGACAACATCTCAATATGGCTGACAACATCACAATATGGTTAGCAATATCACAATATGGCTGGCAACATCACAGTATGGCTGACAACATCACAATATGGCTGACAACATCACAATATGGCTGACATCAGATGAGACATGTTTTGGCTTAGACAACTTCCAGATATTACTAGGAGTCTAGCTTATTGATACCCATCTAGCATCCAGCTTGTTCCTAGCCATGTAAGAGATTTTTCGTTAGCAATAATTCAGACCCAATTATCTACTGGAAAGCGTTTTGTAATAATGTTTTTTACATTACTTAGTATTTGATAAACACTTTTTCTAAATAAGGTTTAGCATATAAAACTGCAATTAGGAGAATAATTACCAACTAATTAATGTTTGGGAAACTTCAATGAAAAAAAGTGTCCTGGGTTAAAAATATACATAATTAGTCCCCTACATCATAGGTACGTACAGTAGTGTGCATATTAATTGGGTCAGATATGAAATAAGACATTTCAATGGAAAATTAATGTTTATTTGAAAAATACACAGCAACGATATGACAGATAATTGATTTAATAAGAGATGTGACTACCCTTTGCTTTTATAAACATTGTTACACACTTTGGCGTAGAATTAACCAATGTTCAACACATTTTGGCAGGTTCTTCGTCGTGGCACCAGGTCCTAATAACAACAACAATTAGCTTCTCCACAGTTGAACAGTCCTGTGTTGTGATCCTGTGTTTGGTTATTACCCATAAATTCTCAGTTAGGTTGCAGTCAAGAGAGTTTACAGGCAAATTTAGAACGCTTAGCCCACTCTTTTTCAAGAATGTCAGCACTTTCTGGAAGTGTGGCATGGAGCAAGATCCTGATGGAAAATACTTTTTTCATCAGGAAAGTCTATCCACAATGGGAGGCAAATGAGCTTCCATGATTGTCTTGTATTTGTCACTGTTCATCGTTCCCTCAACAATAACACGTCGTCCAGGGCCTTTAGCAATAAAACTGCCCCAAAACAACTTCTTAGGTCGATGTTTAGGTGCTTGTTGAATGTGTCCATTCCGAAGAGGTTTGCCTTTGCTCCGTCTCACTATCACTGATCTGTACCTATGTACTTCAAAATGCACCACATCTGAAAATATAACTTTTTTCCATTCACCTGTCGTCCATCCCTTATGATCGAGCGCCCACCGCAGCCATTTTTCCCTGTAGCAGCAGTCAATAATTGTTTCTTTACTGTCTTACTTGCAATTCTGCCATCAAGGAACCTTCGTCGAACGATCGAAGAATCAACATTTAGGCCAACTGAAACCAGATCCCTCTGTAGATCGTTGCTTATGATAACCTATTTCTTACGATAACCTTGTCATCGTGAGGTCTCGTCTTGCGTTTTCTTCCACATCTTCCTTGACGCAGCGCTCCACAATCACCAGAGTCGTCACCTCTCTTCAGAATCCAACCAACAGTTGACTGTCGTAGGCTCAAATTTTCAGTGATCTGTCTGATACTCATATCAGCATGTTTTCTAAGAGGTGCAATACTTACACCCTTTCTAGGCGTAACATCCATCATGAATTTCAGCTGCAATCATGAACTGAAGTGGAGAATTTGGCTAAACCACAGTCACTCACGGATCACGCTTGCAAGAATGGCCTTATAGAACAACAGTGGTTGCAGCAGTGACGAGTCACAGGGTAACACCAGAGTTAGATGGTTGTCAGAAGCAGGTACCAAACTCTTCTGAAAAGAAAAGAACATTTTATGAAATAATGACAAAATTTATTGCTGTCCCAGTTACTGTATACACTACTATAGTTTATGCAGCTTTATTATGACTATTCAGTAAATC